CACGTAAAAGAAATTCTTTCTGCTCATCATCTTTTGTAATAGATGTTGCATAGTCTTGAATTAGTTTTACAGCTCGTTCTGCTGTATCGTTTACAGATTTCAGTGATTTGATATGCTCAAACATGTGATTAAAATTTGTGTTAGTTTTCCAAAACTTTGGGGATTCTACCAACCAACCGCCATCCTCATTTGAATATCCGAATAAATTTAGAATGTTACTTGATTTTGGTCCAATTAAATCAGTCAAACAAGTACTCTGCTTCAGAAGAGGAAATTGTGGAAAGCCTATATCATGTTCACAGTTTTCTTTTATATTTTTCAGAATTATTTTAGCCATTTTAGTTTTATCTCGATCAGATACCTTATCAGAAAATAATGAAAGAGGGGACATTTCTTCAGTTAAATACCAAAGATGCCGATTAAATGTTTCCAGGGCAGCAACAGCAACATCATTGTCAATTTTTTTATAAATAAGCATTTCTTTGTAGAATTCCAGGTCATTAAATGGAGCATCGACTGTGCTTGTGCACGTAAGCCATATTTTCACATAAAATAGTAAAGTAAATTTACAAAACCTTGACAATTTCTCTATAAAACTTTCTTCATACTCTGCCAGGTCAGCAAAAGCAAACATCTTTGATGTGTACAAGATTGTACACATCCATCTAGCATGATGGAAGGCTCCAGGTTTGTGCCACTGTATATTTATTTGTTTTGGATTGAGTAATTGCAAAGCAAGTTGACAACATTCTCGATAATCATCTCTTAATATTTTTCGAGATTTCCGGTTAAGTAAACCAGACAAAAAAATTATTACTTCTGCTTTTTTGGTCTTTAATACTGGTTCTTCGATCTTTATTTTTCTAAAAGTAGTATCTGAAGTTAATGAAAGCTTAGGCCATACCTCATTTTTAAAGTGTCTAAATGGCTCATAATTTGGAGATCTGCATTCTCCAAAAACTTTGAAGTAAACAGATGACAAAACTCTTTCAAAAATATGGTGTCGGCAGGCGCACCAAAGTAACTTTTTGTTAAAGTGTTCTTCAATTAACTTTGCAGAACCATTTATCCAACCTGAATTTGATGGAGTTGTGTCAAAAATCATTGCCACAAGTGTTTTTTCCAGTTTCCATGTCTTTACAGCATCTATGGTAGCTGTTGCCTGACTTCGCCCAGTTGTATCAGGAATCCTGGATACACACAACAATTTCCCTTCAGGTGCACTTGGTTTTCCTGTTACAACAATAGCCAAACGTTCCACTTTACCATCGACCTCAGATACCAGCTTTGAATCCCAGTGAATGGAAGAGTACATGGGTGAAATGAATGTTTTCTTAAGATCATTTGAAACTTGCTGTCGAATTTTATTACCTGATCTGTACGCTGTGCTTTTTGAGATAGATATTTCATCTAAATTGTGACCTAATGCTTCAGCTACAGCTAAAATGATTCCAGATCTTTCTCTGTTGGATAGATTCAACCTATCAGCCATTAAGGAAACTTTAGGGTTTTCTAATATCTTGATTTTTTTTTTCTGTCTAGCAATAGTACTTTCTTCATTTTTATTATGAGTTTTGCCTTCATTATCAAATGCTGCCAATACATTGAAGCTTTTTTCTTTTATGTTTTCTTTTCTAGATTTCTCTTTTTCAATAGCCTTGATTTTATTTTTCTCTTTTTCCTCCATTCTTTTCACTTTCATAGCATAACTCTTGTCTAATGGGCCCAAAAATTGCTTTTTTAAGTGACGTTGATCTGAGAGAAAGTCTATATCTGAGATCTGACTATTGATACTACGCAAGGTATCTTTTCTTATCAAATTTTCGGCATTTGATGCTGCAATATCAAACAATAATGATAGTTTATTAGTAAAACTCAGAAGTTGAGCTGCATAACTTTTTTTTTTTGCATTTTTAATCAAGTTCTCTCTAAGATGAATCAGATGTAGTATCATTCTGACAATATCTTTCTTCTGTTTTATTGGAATTCCTGCCATTTTCCAAAAAACATAAACTTTTTCCCAAACTACAGATGCAACTTCTTTTTTACCAGTTAATTTCAATTCAAATCTTGTAAGATAAAGATAATGGCGTACAACATCTCCATTTGTTGGTAGCTGACTATACATCTTTGCTTCAAGGGTAGGTAATAATTTACCAACAATATTATCAAACTTCTCATCATTTTTCCTCAATTTACTATTGCTCATAACTGATCAAATATTTTTTATATATGCTATTATATCTATAGATAAAAAAGTAGCTATAAATTATAAAATTATTTGAATAATGTATGTAACATTAATATTCATCATAAAAAATTTTCTCATCTCAAGCATTGAATAATAATATTTAATAATTTTTGAGAATCGTTGAATTGAAACAAATTATGTTTACTAATATTAGCTATGATACATAGTTTAGAATTATAATAGTGATCAATATTGATACAAAACATATTTAATACATTTATATATTTAGCCTAAAATCAGTTTAAAAGT